CATGGTGTGTGGGATGGGTCCATGTTTAGAGCGCTCTGCAACACCTAGGCCCAGCTGGACTCTAGGCCTTGTTCAGCTGGAACGCTACATTTCCGGGCTTGAGGAGAGTGGGGAGCTGTTCAATTGGACGTTTAGAAAACATGGAGAGGAATAAAAGAGGAGGAGATGGAAATGTGCCGCTGACGTGCTGTGAAGTCGAAGGCTCCTTTGGACCCAGTGATGTGTCAGTGGACCAGTCACCTTTGGTACAGTGCTCTGAATACATTATCACAGCATATCACCTGTTGGCGTCTGAATATCCATGACTTCGCAGACAGAACGCATTGGTCTGCCTTCTGTCCCCTTTCCTTTCTTTTTTTTTGTCCCATTTTATCATGAAAGCTCAGGAGCTCGTCTCTAATACTTGCCGAATCACTGCTTGCTGATCTCTCTCTCTCTCTCTCTCTCTCTCTCTTTCTCTTTGTTTATGTCTGTACCTTTTCTCTGTATGTTCTGTAGAGGATGTAGCAAATTTAACAGCCAGTGATGTGATGAATCGGGTAAACCTTGGATATTTGCAAGGTAATTCTTTTCCCCTGGGAGTCAAGCTTGACTCGCTGCACCCAGCATAACAAGATCATGCCAATTGAGTCTAACCCACACCCTCGTGCCAGTTTTCACCTTAGACTGATTTGAGCCTTTTAAGCACCTATTTGTGGGAGAGGTTTGGGAAAGGACCATCCTGTATCTGCACCACAAATGGAAGATCCAGTAAACTCACAGAGAGAGAAAATTCAGTGACTGTTTGCTAGTTGAAAATGTTCAAGGAAATTACAGCTGTTAATTGCCTCTTTAAAAATCCCTCCACTGCAACTCGATTTATGGCTGTTGAAACCATTGGGAATTTGAGACCCAGATTTTTTTTCCTTGGCAGAATAAAACAGGTTGGGATAAACTGCGACCTCTCTGGAAGCTCTGGAATATGGGCCTCAGTGCTGGATTTAACTTGCCCCAGACTTGTACACTTCTCCAGATGCCAGAAAGACTGAGTCTGAGACAGTCTACAAAGCACTTTGGGGCTGGCCAATGAACGGCACTATAGAAATGCAAATATTTCATTATCTTCTTTTAAAATACGTGTACTGGGATCAAAATGTAATAGCCTTGTATAATTTAAAGAACTGTTTTCTACTAGGTTTTGTTGCTATTTTATTTCAAAACTCCCGTGGGAGAATCTCAAAGTGTAACAAAACCATTTAGGTGTTCTTAATGGTTAGCCCCAAGTCATCTGTGGATGCTTGACTTGACTCAAAGGAGCAAGGTCCAAATTCTGTTAGCACCCACGTTTTACCTAGTCTGAGCACATTGTTTACTCTCCAAGAGGATGGTCTCATTCCAGCCTGATGGGATTTATTTGCAATTTCCCCCTGACTCAAATCTCTTAGTGGGAGCTGAATTTCATCCTAGGTTAAACAGTAACTCAGTCCCTGACTGAAGCATGCCCATGCTGTGAGGCTTTGTAGAAAACAGGCCATGCTGAAAGAAGTTGAAGCATTTAAGGGGAGGTACCCGTGGGAAGGGATTTTAACTACAAATTACGGTCATCAAAGTTCATATGATTTTGATGGCTACAGCAAAACAAAATATAAAGCAAAGCTTTATGTAGCAATCCTCTGCCAAGACCCTTTTAAATCAAACCCAAAGATGAGCACAAAAAAAATGGTCACCTATTTGAATTTCCAGCCTTCATTAGACCACACTTAAGGTGAAAAGTTGGCATTTCCCTATAAATTGTGTGCTTCGTCCGAGCAATGGCCCCAAGTGTGGTTTCATGGAAGTCCCACTCAGTTACAGTATATTGCCAGCTAGTCAGTCCAATTTGTTAATCCATGTCTTAGTGACATTTTTTTGGCCTGAAGCTCTTTTGATTTATTATGCTGTAAAGGTGCAGATTCCTCAATGGTCAGAGGGTTATGAATTCATACTTACACCCTGATACGCCAGGAGAAGTTTTAAAAAACAAAATACGTACAGAAAATTTGTTAATGTTAATATTATTTTTTGGCTCTTCAGCCAATCTGAATTCCATATTTATCTACGCGCTCATAGGTTTTTAGTCAGAAGACCAAGTTTATATCTGGACACTCTCTAAATTGGTCTAGCGAGCATATATCTGCAAGATGGGCACAACAGAGTCTCTGATCCAGAGAAGACAATATGGCAATATACTTGGTGGGTTAGCAGTGCTTTGGTCTAATGCATGGTTTGGCTAGGAAAAGTGGCTTCCATGGAGCAGGAGAACCTGCCTCTACCAAAGGTATGCCCACTCCTTCCCCAGTCATACGGCAAACTGCATTTGTAATGACCAAGCTGTAAGAAGTTTTAAATGTCTCTAGCCCTGCTTTCATGGCATTGCTATGCTTCTGCTCCCTTTTCACTGTAAGGCTAAGCATTGGGATGTGATCAGCTAAAACCAAACTGTCGGAAAGCTATAAATATTGATTGGTTGCTCATGGCTGTGGTATTCTAGACGTAGGTTAGAATGGTACCAAACAGTAGCTTCCCAAAAAGAAGTGCACGATTCACAACACTCCATAGTAACTGACCCGTCTTCCTTCATCACCATGGAGATGGTCAGCAGACCCCAAGGCCAGCAGTTAGTGGGAAGCCCGAAGAGGGAACGATGTGGGATCGAATCCCAGAGGTGGGGACCAGCTCCTGAGAATGCGCTTTGGCTTTTATTGACACTGCCCTCAGGACAGATAGCTGAAGAGTTCCTTCTGAGCGGAGACATGCTGAGGCAGAGGGGAGCAGAGAGCTGGAGACCAGACTAGGGTAGGTTATTTAGGGATTTACAGGATTTCATGCATGTAAAAGTGAATTGGCAGCTAATGTAGAAAGTGAAACTCAGGTGTAACCTGCTATTGAAAAGGTGCCCACTTATATTATGCATCGTGGCCATGTGTAATACACTAGCTGAAGGTGTGGCCTTCCAGGTTAATCCTAGCCAAGGTGCTTTGCTCCAACCTTGAGCTAAGAGGCATAGATATCTGTGATGCACCTAGAGGAATGGATGCTGGCTTTTGGCCAGCTGAAGATGAAAGAAACTTGCTCCAGGCTACTGGTGTCCGTGTGCCTAGGGATAGAGAGGGGACTAATAGGGGGAACGCTGATAAGGCCCTGTCTTAGACTCCCATTTTAAGCAATACCCTTTGTCCATATCTCAACTATCTTTGGCTCCTCGGAGACTCCTCTGTTCACAAGCTGTGGAAATAAAAGCACAACCGTTTTCTGCTCCTGGTGGCAAGTGTAACCATTGTCAAGGCTAGTTGTTTCTCTCAAATTGCCTGGTGTATGAGATGTTGAAAAGACAACGCAGTCCCAGATCCAGCAGAAATGTGGAGCTCCAACGTGCTCCTGGATTTTCATTGCAAGGAGACCTTGACAGCCCTGACGGCGATGGGATGGCAGGCATGTTGCGTGGGTCTGTTTCTGAATGGGAGGAAGGAATGAAAAGGGTCAGGAAGGAGGGATTTGATGTATATGACTGCAGGGTGGGGCGCCATTAAACCCTTCAACCTCTGAGGTTTCACTGTCTCCATCTCTAATGTAGAGGGTGTGAAAGGACCTCTCTTTGCCTATAGCACAACCTAGTGTTTACATGGCTTAGGGTCTTTAAAACAAGCTATTAGTGATGCCACAGGAATAGCTAGTCTGTGTAGTCATTACAACCAGTTTATAGATTAATCTCTGATCTAGGTATTAGTTTTCACAAAGTTCTGTACAGTAGCAGGTAATGCATGAATGTTATGGCTTAGCTGATTTTCCATTAGCCTCCAGCGCTATGGGGTGTACACACATACCCATCTGGAGGCCACTGATGCAATGATTATTGGTAACTGGGAAGCCTATCATTACAGCCATACACAGGGCATCAGTGTTGCCAACTCTGCAACATCACTTTGCCCAGCATCCCAGGAAGGGACAATTGCTACTATTTGTACACGCAATTCTGAGCAATGCTTCTGTGCTGACCAGATGTGCACAAGCTGCTGTGAGTGTATTTATGTGTGAGTAAATTCAGTTGGCACATCTGCCCTGGAAATCAAACATTTGCTGTCAGTTGTCGTCATGCCTCTTTGCACACGCATTTGGCCATTTGCTCAGGCAAATCTATTTCATATTTTACTTGACTTGCTTTTATAGAAGTCTTGGCCTGTTTCCTGAAAAAGTATCTTCTAGAGTTCCACTGGAGAACGCATTTTAGAGGAACAATCAATTATATCGTAATAATCGAAACCAAGGGAGATGTAACAAAGACTGAGGGGCTGGGGGGAAGCTTCAGGCATAGAAGGAGAAACAGTAAAGTGGAGAAAACACAGGCATGAGATAACATCTGTTCAGGGAAGGTCTGCTATTGCAAGCTATAGCAGACTGTGGCACCATTGAACATTCTCTCTACGCTAAAACCTTGACGACAATTTCAAAAATTGTGCAAAAATCTAATAAGCACAGTAGATGGTTTGCTGTGATGACGGAGTATTTCAGATTAATATTAGCGATGACGTCCCAGTGAAAAGCCTTATAGTGAGTTCATGTAACTGTCTCAGTCATTACTCTGCCCTTGACTTACCTCTCTATTAACCTGTCGTCCCATTTTTCCATCCTGTACGCAATGCATCTTGTCAGTGGCTGTCTGACAACTGTTCATTGTTTGTCAGCTCCCAATCCCATTTACACTCACGGAGCTACACGTTGATGAACATAATTTTCTTGACTGCTGCACAGATGGACTTGCATTCATTTCACTCATGATCTTGTTGCTCGGTTAGTTTAAAACCAAGCCAGAGCTACCATTTAGAGCACTATTTACTCTGTGCAACATGAACGTGATGTAACTAGAGCATGCAAATAAAGATACCCGTGCAATTATCTTGCTGTCAGCATTGCTGAGGCTAGTTCTATGGAGTATTATGTTTTACAAGGTAATTTATGATATGCATGTGTTGATGGCCGTGAATATTTCCTGATGAACTTGCTAGGAACTCAGAGTCTTGCTATTGAATTCTGTCATCATTAAGTACCTAACTTTGCTACAGTCCCATATGCTCTGAAACTACAAGGAGTTTTCTTTGGGTATAATAAAAAAATAATCATGTAAATAAATCCTGCTGCTGGGCTAAGAGTAAACTAATGAACAAGGGGAAACCTGCGAATGTGGCAAAAATCATACAGCCGATGGGTATTATAGTTGCCTTGGACAGCGTTTTGGATGCGTATGGTGCACATAGTGCAGTAAGAGTAACGTCACATTTCTCTTTGCATTAAAACAAGGTAAGACCAGTTCTTTACTTTCCTTAGCGATGCCATATGGTCTGAGATAGACACTAAAAATTGTCCAGCACTGAAATACCTGAGCTGTGTGGCTGCCATCAAGTGCTTTCAGATGCTCGCATGTCCTCAAGCAGCCTGCCTGGCACTTTGAAAAAGTGCTGGTTGAAAGTTCAGGAGAACGAATGAGGCAAGTGTAGGGCCTTGCTCCGGTGAACGCCTATAGACTTGGAAGATGTTCAGTTCATTCCTGGGGACAGACAAGAGGTTTTGGCATAAGCAGGGCCGGCTCTAGGTTTTTTGCCACCCCAAGCAAAAAAAATTTTGGCTGCCCCCCACCCCAGCCCTGGGCTCCCCTGACACCTCCCTGCCACCCCAGCCCTGGGCTTCCCACACACCTCCCTGCCACCCCAGCCCTGGGCTCGCCCCCCCATCCTTCCCCCCCGATGCCCCAGAGCTGGGCTCTCCCCCACACCCCACCAGCACCCCCTGCTGCCCCAACTCTGGGCTCTCCCACCCCACCCACACTCCCTGCTGCCCCAGCCCTGGGCTTCCCCCCACCAGTGCTGACTCTGCCCACTCCCCCTTGCCTCCAACCGGTCCGGTGCAAGCAGCGGGGCTCCTGGGCCGTGCCTCAGCTCAGGGTCCCTCCAGCCGGGGCTCCCACCTCCAGGACCGGCCGGACCCAGGAGGGCAGAGCCGGGGGACCGCCCCAGCAGGGGGC